GGCTGTGCTGGTCTCAGTGATCTGTGCTGGTCTCAGTGATCTGTGCTCCAGCTGTCAGGCTGTGCTGGTCTCGGTGATCTGTGCTCCAGTTGTCAGGCTGTGCTGGTCTCGGTGATCTGTGCTGGTCTCAGTGATCTGTGCTCCAGCTGTCGGGCTGTGCTGGTCTCGGTGATCTGTGCTGGTCTCAGTGATCTGTGCTCTAGCTGTCGGGCTGTGCTGGTCTCTGTGATCTGTGCTCCAGCTGTCAGGCTGTGCTGGTCTCGGTGATCTGTGCTGGTCTCGGTGATCTGTGCTCCAGCTGTCAGGCTGTGCTGGTCTCAGTGATCTGTGCTCCAGCTGTCAGGCTGTGCATCAGTGACGTGTTGTTGCTGTGTGTCCCCAGACTCGGACTCAGAGGAGGAGGAGCCTCAGTTCATCTCCGCTGAGGAGACCCTGAGGCACCGGGGGGCGGAGCTTCAGCTGGGCCCCACCCACAGCCTGCTCTCCCTGACCATTCACATCGGCCGGGGGCGGCTCACCTGTATGGCCGACAGCAAGGTGAGGTCACACCCTCTCCTGCCTGCCTGCCTGTCAGACTGCAGGCTCAGCCCACGCGTCTCTCTCTCGCAGGGGGAGTCCGGCCAGAAGGTGGAACAGTGTCACGGGGAGCTGGTGCTGGACGTGGAAGGAGGGAAGATATTCAGCGTGACGCAGCACCGAGGAGACCCCTTCCTCAACTTCCTGTGCCTGGAGAGCCAGAAGGTTGAACTGTACCACCACGGTAGGAGAGAGGGGGAGCCGCTCAGCGGGAGGGTGTGAGGGGAGCCGCTCAGCGGGGGGGTGTGGGGGGAGCGGAGTGGATCTTTCGGCTGTGCTGATCTCCCCCTGTCCTGTGCAGCGATTGTGCCGGACTCCCCCCTCCCGGAGCGGCTGGAAATGCCCAGTTTCACCCCCCCGGATCACCTGGAGCCTACCATCTACCCCTCGGAGGCGGGGGTGTCCAGCGTGGCGGGCAGGGAGAGCAGGAGGCAGATGCTGTCCACCGCCATCAAGATCACGCTGGACCCGGCGAGGGGAGTGAAGGTCCGTTCGCCGCGGAGTCCGTCTGCGTGCGGCTGTGTCTGTCCTGCTGTGTGACCTCTGACCCAGGAAGTACTCGCTTTGTGTTTCTCGTTTCTCCCCCCAGGAGTTCCTGGTTGCTCTCGGCCTGCAGGGGGCCACGTTGCGGCATCGCATGTCCTCGTCCTATCAGAGCTGGCACGAACAGGTGAGTGCCCGCCCCCCCTGCCCGCCCCCCCTTGGTGCTGGCCGGCGGTCACGACTGATCCCCCCCCCCCTCTGTCTGGTCGGCAGCTGGTCGACTTCCTGGACGTGATCGACGAGCCGATCCTGGGGTACACGCCCCCCGCGGTCATCACCGTGCTGCACACACACCTGCTGAGCTGCGCTGTGGACTACAGGTGAGCCTGTCTGGATTCCCAGCACGTTTCTCAGCCCCTCCTGTGCAGGAGCAAGGTTATTACCAGGTGGACACATGCACTGGGATTCGTATTTGCCCTGATCTCTCTGGACACACACAGTACAGCAGACAGCACCACCCAGTGTAGACGGTACATTGCACACATCATAAATAATAACCTCAGAACAATAAATACATTGTGGAACACGCTCCGCGCGAACGCTCTGAAGAAACGCGTTTCCTCTTGCTCTTGCAGACCCCTCTACCTCCCGGTCCGCATGCTGTTCACCGCCGAGTCCTTCTCCCTGTCCAGCAACATCATCGTGGACACCGCGACCTTCCACCTCCGGTAAGGCACAGCAGTCTGATCCGCTCCAGGTGTGACAGTGCTGTCAG